GAAGTACCTTCATGACCTAACGCAAGTCGCATGTGACTTACATAATATAATTATATTATGTAAGTCACATGCGACTAATGCATAGTCATGAAATCTTCTTTAACTGAGATTTTTGATAATCAGGCCAATTCAGTTTTCACTTATTATATAATCAAATTGAGAGAGATTTGAATGGCTCGAAGGCTTATTAACTAAGATCTTGCCATAAATTTGGAAATATAAGCAATTCAGATAAGATTGACATGCAAGTTAGTTCTCTAAAAGAACATGCTAAGAAAAAGGGTATGTAGTGTGAGGCTTTAGAGCCTATTCAAATTCTGGATTTGCTAGAATTAGTCATTAAGGATTCTACAAATAATGAAACTTACACTGAAATAGTAACTATCTCACAACCTTATACACCTGCTTTGCTCAAAATTTGTGATGAAATTATTGTCAATACTTGTGATCATGCGAAGGAACAAGAAAGAAAAATCCTCAAACAAAGGATAATGAAGATAGCCATAAATTTCTAACCTTCAATAAGATTTCTGTATTTAATAATAGTTTAAAACTTTCTGTCAAAATTCATTCTAAGATGACGTGTCATCTGAAAAGAAATGTTTATATTCCCGAAGTAGCTTTTGGGAATTCTTGTCTAAATCTAATATTGAGAAGGGTCTACACAACATAAAGGAGAATACAAATGGTCTGGAGGCTAAGCTTGCTAATGTTCACTTCAAAATCTTTACAGTAGAAACTGTAAATGACCAGTCTAAGAAGTTTTATTGATAAAGCTTTTGAGATAAAATGGAAAAAATAAGCGTTTCCAGAGTTATAGATTTTAATGATCATAGAAAGTTCAAAATCTTAGCAAAAAACTTGCATATTTCTTTTGATAGAATAACAATGCCCTATACACTCATCACTTTCATCCTAGTATATGAGAATTTAGATTATCCACAAAGGATTATGCCAACAATGATCACAGATATCGAAGCCTGGCTCAGGTTCTGAATACACTTGATAGCTACCTATATGGGCAAGGCTGTGCAGGTAACTTATAATAATAACTCATGTAAGACTTCATCTGTTATAGATATTATTAAGTTATTAAGTAAAGAAGATGAAATTGTAATTACTTTCACGCAAATCAAGGTGGAATTGGAGTCATAAAAGCTCTATCCCTAGAACTTTGCAATTAGTATTCTCCTTGCAGATTTGAAAGCTGGAAGAGACATTATTCTACAAAAGATATCTATTATAAATAGAGTCATAAGTAACAAAGGTTCCCATATCTAATATATTAAAAAATTCTAAGCAAAGTTATTAAAGATAAACTAAGAAAGGCAACAAAAAGCAAATGAGCCTCTGAGAAAAAATGGGCTATGATAGAGCTACTCAGAGGTGTTCACTTATTCATAAGTAGTGCTTTACCTGATGCAGACTAGAAAGACAATGTAAAGATAAGCTTCAAGTTTCAAATGAAATACTAAAAACTACTCAATTCTATCTGTCTTTGTTAAGAGGAAATAGCTGAAAGGATTCTCATAGAACATTCTGATAAAAAACTGGGCTCGAAAGTTGTTTATGATAAATTTATAAGAGCCAAATATGCAGAATAAGCATAGTATAAGGAACATACCTATCTTATAGTAGCTGAAGGAGACAGCGCAATCACTTTATTGCAAACTGGATTGATACAGACAAAGCAACTACTACTAGCAGGAGGTCTAGTTTTGACTGATGCAGAATTATCAGCCTACAAGGAGTTATCTAAGGAAGTATCTCAGCTCAAAACTGGATTCAGTGAAATCATTTTAGTGCAAAGTGAAAAGTTCAGAAATAATAAACATCTTTTAACTTTAACTGATGCATATGAGCTTTATTTTGACAAAAAATATACTACTTCTGTAGAGTTTGCATCGCTAAATTATGAGAAGCTACTTTTATGTGTAAATTAGGATTTGGCAAGATTGCTGCACTAGTGCTAGCATAGATTCACATATTTTGGTCTGGACTAATTCATGCAGAACGGGTGAGGAGATTTATGATTCCTTTAATTAGAGCATATCCTATCAGAAACTCAGGTCTAGTCAAAACTATAGAGTTCTTATATGAAAAGGAGTTCCAATATCAGATCACAACAATAAGGAAGTTAAACACATGTTTTTTCAGACAGTTTTGATAAACACTAGTTGAACAATAACAAATAAGAGACCAATTAAATCAAATCTGAGTTATCAGATTTAACTTGATTGGTCTCCTATTTTTTTGTTTTTTTAGAATTAGGTGATCCCGATTGATGATGAATAATAGCACAGATTATACATGAAGTCGAAATGGTCAAAATCATTTTGACTATTGAAGGCTAAAGTCGTGAAATAGTCAAAATGACGTCATATCACATGATTTTTCATATTGAGAAAAAACAAAAAACAAAAAATGTACAATCTCGGTCAATATCACACCGATTCATTTGAAACAACTACCATTCAATTCCTTGCGACTTGACAGATCCAATATGCTAACATTCATTGATTTTGGATCATCCAATCGCGAGATAATCGCAATTGTATTATCAGCCGAAATTATGAATTAATAAATTCTACTTTAAATAAAAAAGTCTGGATTTCGAAATACGATCGCAAATATCTCGAGATGGGATGATCCAAATTCAATGAATGTTAGCTCATTGGATTCGTCTAGTCGCAAGGATTCGAATGGTAGTTGTTTCATATGAATCGGTGCGATATTGACTGAGTTCGTACATCTTTTGTTTTTTTTGTTTTTTCTATATATAAAAAATCATGTGATATGACGTAATTTCGACCATTTCGACTTTTCATTTCGACTTTGACCTCTAAAGTCGAAACATTTCGACTTTTTGGGTTTTCATTTTGACTTCATGTATAATTGTTGCTATTATAAAATACTCATATTATAAGATATATTTGTGTTTTTTAAAAAATATCTATACTTTGCTTTTTTTAAAAATCCTATTTATATATTATTAATTAACCTAAAAATTATAAAATATTAAATAATTAATAATAATAATAAATATAATCATAAATAATTACAAATAATAATATTTATATATTATATTATATGTAATTACATCACAATCATGATCATAATCATAAATATATGAATTTATTGTTATTATTTATTTGAAATGTTTTAAAAAACTAAATAAAAAAGAATATATTTGCAAAACAAATGAAAATCTATATAATAACATAAAATTTGTAAGGTATGATCAGAACAAAATAGTAAAATATAAGTATTTTTTTTACAAACTTTTCATGAAATTTAAAGATATATTTATTTTTAATAAAACTTAATTTTTAATCAATTATTATACTGTCGACCCCTTCTATAATTAACTTTTATATAATCACATTACTTTTTTAGTTATATTATAATTATTTCACAAATTTTTTATTTTTATTTTTTATTTATACAGTGACTTCAAAGAGCAATTTAAGTATTTTGATTAAAGGAAATCAACTTTGTTGTGTAAGTAAAGTTGTTTAACAAATTCAAAATATATGTTTACAAAATTTTATTATAATTGGATTAATAGTTGTAAAGTTATGCACGTTTTTGTAATTGTATTATCTCACAAATATTTTATTTTTATTTTTATCTGTATAATGATTTTAAAGAGCAATTTAAGTATTTTGTTCAAAGAAAATTAATATTAATTGTATTAGTAAAGTAGTTCAACAAGTTTAAAAATATATACTTATAAAATTTTATTATGATTGGATTAATAATTGTAAAATTATGCATGTTTTTCGTAATTGTATTATCTCACAATTTTTTATTTTTATTTTTTATCTGTACAGTGACTTTAAAGAGCAATTTAAGTATTTTGATCAAAGGAAATCAACTTTAATTATATAAGTAAAGTTGTTCAGTGGTTTAAAAATATGTACATATAAAATTTTATTATGATTGGATTAATGATTGTAAAATTATAAACGTTTTTTGTAAATGTATTAGTAATTACCTGATTTGCAGATTTATCGCAACTTGTAATTTTAAATTCTGCAATTAAAATAATTATATTAGTATCTTTTTTTTTGAAAAATTATCAAATGTAAAAATATATCAATATATTTTTATATTTTTTTAAAAAAAATATTAAACAAAATTAATAATTATTTAGTTTTCTTTTTTAAACAGATCAGGTCAGATCAGATTAAATATATATTTAATTCAAGTCAATTTTATGTCTAATCTGACCTGATCTTATCAGGTCAAATTAAGTTAATTATCTAACCTGACCCAACCTGTTCAAAGCTTTAGGCTTTAGTGATAAAGTAGGATTAGAAACAGAAATAAATTCTGAGGTTTCTCCTGTAATTTATGATAAATTTTTATACGTTTTTGCAAAATGTAATTAGAATTGTGATAAACTACTTGTTAAAGCTATTGAAGTTCTAAGAATGCTATTATATTTTTTATTAAGCTTTTAATTTCAGTTTTAGTCATTCCTGATCTATTAGTATCTATATATAGATTGGTTGCCAAAAAAATTAGAAAAGGAAATAATGTATTTTTTTAAGATAATGTAAATTTTCTGTTTTAACTAAAGCTAATACTATTCTATATATTATAAAATTTGGCTATTATTTGAAGATTTTATTGATTCATCAGAGACAGATCACTAATAAATTGCTCTTTTTGTTATTCAAAAGTCATTTCAGCTAATCTACCAATCTTTTTAATTCTAACGGAGAATTGCTTAATTATTACATCACCCTGTATAAGTTAACCAAAACTACCATTTGTTTTAAATATTCAACTTGTATAAGCAGTTCTAAACAGGTAAAGAAGTTAGTCAAGCTTAATATCAAGAGTAATAGTAACAGCAGGAAGACCACCACTAGTATTTGATGCTACTGGTATATTATTTGCAAATTTATCACTAGCTATAGATCAATCTTCATTCCATATTTTATTTAGAATAATATTAGCGTCAGTTGTGACTCCTGCTTTATACCAATTTCAGCAGCTATCTTACCTTGGAATTCTCCTGTAGTATTCAAACCATCAATTTGATTACTACTATTTCTGGTAACTAACTTCAAACAACATTTAGATCAGCAACTTCCAAATTGTCTGAAAAATTATTATATCTCCAATTCTTGTTTTTAATAAAAGTTAAATACTAATTTAATGCATCACTTGCAAGACATGATACTACTAATCCAAATGTTTCTTCTTTTCTAACAACTTGTATCTCTATTAGATGCAATATTTATTCAACTAGCTATTATATATTTCTAAACCAATCTTCTGAATCCTCTTCAGGTATTCATAAAATATTAGGAGTATGTATCCTACCATTCCTAATAATTTTAGTGGATTAATCTATAGATTAAAAATAATTTGCTGGGAATTTCTATTTATTAGCTGAAGAGCAAACTTCTCTTATACTAATATATTAATACGAGCTTACTTTCTAATATTATTATTTATCATAACTCCTTTTAATCTTTAAGTAATACTACATTGTTTCTGATGTTCTCTGCTCTCATCTCTATAATACTTATACCAATTCTGATTCTGTCAAACAATACAATTATGTTATTTTCTCCATATACCTGAGTATTTGCTAGTAATAAAGTGTTTTTTTTAATTTTTTATATAATGATTCTGAAGAGGATTACATACTATATCTAAATACATATGTATTTAAAAAAGTGTAGTCTTTTACCAATATTTATAATAATTATATAAAAGGCTATACTTTTAGATACACATTTATATAGCTTTATTTTATATTTTATTAACTAAGTTTACTATCACTTCTTTTTGTATTTATCAAAAAAATATTTTAAACATTTTCAGATTTATAAAGATATTATAACTTTTTTGTACTAATAACATGCATACCTTAATTATTTTGATTAAGCTTGTATAACTGCTTCCTTCATCTGCTATAGCAGCACTAATTCTTTAGCTAGTATTCCATCTCATAATAATATCATAACAAAATATGATAATAGAAAGACTGCTATATTTCAATAATGCTTATCTAATAAGCAAATCATTCACTTTATGTTTACTGTTGTAAATGATAAAGCTAAATATATTAATAAATAGTATTGTTTTCCTAAACTAAAATTCTGTAGTTTAGAATAACCAAACTAATTTAGTTAAATGTCAAAATTAGTTTAGTTAATAGCTGAAACTACCAAAACTAGTTTTGTTTAACTGAAACTAATTTTTGGTAGTTTAATATAGCATCTTTATTGATAGAGTATTTACTTATATTTTGTATATTATTAGTACTTTAATTAATAGATAAAAGGCAATCATAAATATTATAGATATCAAACCTTTATTTGATATTATGATATATTATTATCTATATTAAAACCAAATTATTAAATTATTATCTAATACTCTTAATAATATATTAAAATTTAGAATCAAGACTATTAATACCTTTTCATTTTAAGAGTATTATATAGAAAAGAAAAAATATATATGTATTATTATATGGATTACTTTGATCAATATAATATATTAAAAGTAATTCGTAAAATTAGTATTTATATAGCTTCTGATAATATAAATTTTACATATTATTATCATAAAGTAGCTTATAAAGAAAAATTACCACTTTCAAGTTAAGCAGTATTAAGTAATTATTTATACAAATACACTTAAGAGAATACTTATCTTTTTTGAATATCTGTGAATAATTATTACTAATAAATAAGGATGATTATAATAATTTATTAATATCTATACACTTTAATTCTTGTTTTCACATAAGATATTAAAACATATAACTCTTATAGAACAGATGAATTACCTAATACAAAATATGAGAAAGATATTATATTTATAATTTGTATGACCGTTTATTAGAAAGATACTTTTAAAGTGCTAAAATAAATCTTTCTTGTTAATATCTGTATTAAATTCATAGTTATATGTA